TTAGCTCACTTCAACCCAAATATAGTTGAGGTAATTTTTAGTTCATCTATTGCTTATCCTAACTTTCAATAACATTCTTCAACCTCTCACTCTTTCATCAACTGTACACAGTATATCTTGGCTGTTCTCTTTGTAATGTCAGGATGTTGTATCCTTCCTGTTCCTCCCCTCCTCCCACCATCCAGCTTCTGTCCCTACTCTAGGAAGCAGGAACAAAACTTGCAAGTACTTGGATGATTTTCACCATCTCCTTAATTTACACCTGTGTGGGTGCCTTTACCTTAGAAGAGTTTTTCTCTTTTAACTCATGCCCCTTGGAAGAAGGGCACAGACAAAGGTAAGGCTGGTTTGGTACCACCAACACCCAGCCCAGTTCCTCTTCTAGCAGAGGTTTTCAGAATCTTCAGTGCTCCTAAATCCTGCCATGTTGTCTTCTCTATCACGACCATGTTTTACTGTTAAGCCCATGGGCACCATCCAAGTGGAGGTGTCGTGGAAACTCCTCCTAATTTGAGAATGTCTTTCCTTCCCCATCTGATAGCTCTGGGAACACAGCTGGTTGGGCCAGGAAGTGGCACATGACACAAACTAGGTCAGTCAGTTTTTCTCTTCTGGAAATTTTAAATTGGGACTAAAGCTGCCCAGTTTAGTCTGGGTGGGTCTCCTGAACAGAGATGACATAAAATGTCAAAACCAAGCTTACATCGTGAGTACTGAAAAGTAGAGGAAGCAAAACAATTATTTTGTCAACTAAAAACAGGCAAAAATGAAAAGAGAGTGACTGTAAAGACTCCCGTTGGCTTTGATTACCTAGCTTCAGCCCCTTGCTAAGGCCTGACTGTGACTTTGCCCCAATGATTCTTAAAACACTGCCACACCATTATACCAAGGCCCCCCTAATTTTTTTGTTTATTTTTTATTTATACATCATGTTTATTCTATTACAGTTGTCTCAATTTATACCCCTTGGTGGGGGTATCCCTTGGTGGAGGGTATACCCCTTAGTGGGGGTCCACCCAACCCACCCCCACCCCCTGCTCCCACAGTCAATTCCCACTCTGTTGTCCATGTCAATGGGTCATTCATACATGTTCTTTGTCTAATCCCTTCTCCTTCTTTCCACCATTGTCTTCTTTCCCCATCCCCTCTGGTCACTTTCAGTCTGCTCCATGTTTCCTTGCCTGTGGTTTATTTTGTTCGTTAGTTTATTTTGTTGAATAGAGTTCACTTAGAGGTGAGACAAGCTCCAGTGAGTCTCTGCTATTTACAGTCAAAATTAACTTATGACTATCCTCTGCTATAGACTGGGCTCCTTGTAGGGTAGGAAACTTGTCTCTATATTCTGTGAATTGCTAAGCAGAATGCCCTGTACATAGTAGTCACTGAAGAAGCACTTACTGAATTGACTCAGCTGTCAGTACTCCTCCATAAACCACTTTCAGGGGGCACTGACCCTTCTTGAGATGAGGGTAACTCTGAGAGGACAAGTGGAAAAAAAGACAGAGGTCCTGTGCCAGCTGCTCTCCTAGCCGAGTCCAGTGGAGAGGTTGCGGGGAGGGTAGAAGCCTTAAAAAGAGAATCAAATGTTAGATTCATTCTGTCTAAACACCTCCCAGTCTCCTGCTACGTCAGTAGGATCAGAGAAGGTCATTAGCAAACACAGAGGCTCTATCACTATAAGGAGAGATAGTGCTTTGAATCTCCTGAGTGCTTGATTGTCCTGGTGAAAGAGCCCTCTAGTGGTGAAATAGCATTATACCTAGGCTTAGAAGCAGATTCTAAGCACACATGTACACACACCTACACATCAACTGAATGAAAGGATGAGGTCATCCCCTAGTAAGTGGGGAGGCATCATCGGGAACTAACTGACGGCATCCCTGCCTCCTCACTCCCACTCTAGTCAGGTGTTCTGACTTGTTGCAAATGCAGGTTCAGGACTTCCCACACTCTGTGATCAAAGGCTCAGTACAAAGCTCCATTCTTTTTACGTGTCCCTTTCTCTCCTTCAGAAAAATTGTGCACATGCTCTCCCATGACTGTTGTCTTCATCTGCCTGAGCTCCTGACCCTTCCTCCCAACCCAACACTGACCTACCTGGAGACCTAATTCCCTCTGCTGAACTTTCTGGACACCGCCTCTTGTATGTCTGGAATTAATGACAGAGCTAAAGAGGTGAAGACAGACATGCTCTTGTTTTACTGTGGGTCTGGTGAGTGGAGTGACTGGAGCACACTCTCCTTAAGCCCAAAGCAAAGCCCACTGACCTTTTGTCTACATGGTCCTGCTTTGAGAAAAGACCTTTCTCATCCCTGGTCAAGTGAGGAAAAAAACAGCTCCTGAAGTGGCTGCTTTTGGTCATTATTAATTAATTATTTCATGTTATTTGTTTCACCTCCATGTTACATGTGGCTTTTTTTTCCATTGAGAGGCAAGTTTTCTTTTTAGGAAAAGAAACCTCTAAAGAAGGCCCTGTGCATCTCCCCCTATCTCCTATCACTCATTTTGGTTATGTGGCAAATCTTCAGTACAATTTCTTCTTCAAAAATCAGTGTTTGTGAACCACAACACATGCGTATGCAATTAAATGCACAAACCCACTGTATACCTGTACTCAGGCATGTACATCCACACATGCAAACAGCTATGCATTTATGGCAAACACTTTTACATGACCCGTAACACTGCATGAAGTTACAGACTTGTATTTACATGTCTGCTTTACAACAAACTCAAAACCTATAATTAAATTGAATACAGCACAAGTAAACATTCAAACATAACTGTTCCATGACTATATATTTGAACCTATGCATGTATATGCATGTATGTTTAACATCAAGAACCAAGTCTTCAAGTAACCCTGGTATAAAATAAAAAGTGGCAAAATCACCAATAAGTTGTGTGCTGCATTTAGAACTCTTCAGTACATTACTGCTACTCAGTCATCTGTATGGAATCTCTCAAGACAGCTAGAGATGGCACCAGGAGAATATATGTGTCTGTGATTACCCCCCATTATATTTTTGTCCAGTTAAATAACATTCAAACATGGCAGTTGGTTATGGACACATCTCTGGGACTGCAGAAATAACCCAAGCAGCCTCAATTCCAAACACTGGCCTCTGGGTATCCATCCTATCAGGCCACAGGGAAAAAAATAATAAAGGCATTCTGTGGACTCTTTTTAGTTAACTCAGTGAGTGCTCAAGTACATGCCAGAAGACATAGTAATAAAAAGATGGTTAAATGCTAATCTTTTGTAACATTTACTATTTCTAAGGGAGAGTCTCACTAACTTTCCAGTATGCAGTGGAATTTACACTTTGGACTAACAAGAAAACCAGACTTAATTTTACCTGCCTTCTGTTCTAACTTAGAAAGCATGTTAACAAATGAACATCCCAGGGACCTTTGGAAGGAGTCTGACATTCTCCGTGACTTTCCCTTCTTGAATCCATCACACACACTCCCAGTGTAGGAATGGTAAAATATATGAGGTATATTCATAGATCAATATTTCACACCCCTTCCCCCAAGTTCCTGATATATGTACAACAGAGTCTATATACAATTAGCTCCTTCTGTTTTTTAGGAGTACAAGATCATATGTATATGCCCAGTTCCAGGTCTGGTCTGAGCACATTGTTTCTGGTGTAAACCAGAGCTCCAGAGAAGTGAAGGTAGACATATTGGCTTGTTTTGTCGGGAACCAAAGTGAGACAAACTATACACAGATGTGTCTGCGACAACACGTTCTGCCCTCCCAAGTGAGCCATAGAACCGTCATCCAGAGTCGCAGGCCCCTTTAAGAAGACTCGGGTCTTTCCCAATGGGCTCCAGCGGCGCCCGCAGTAAAAGGCAAACTTGCCTGGCTCATCGGTGGTGGGGGTTGGGGAAGTGGGGGGACGCCGAGTTGGGTGAAAGCTGTGAGAGCGCCACAGTGCGCGGCGGAGTTCTCTCCCCTTCCCCTTCCTTAACCCTTGCGGGAGCGGAGAAACACGGTCGTAGTGCAGAGCAAGGAGCCGGGGCTCAGACTGCCCTGGGCTCCCAAACTTTGAGCGGAGTGTGGGCTTGACTAGCCAGAGCCGACGGGGAAAGGGCGTAGGGGAGGAGAACCCTTGTGCAGCCGAGGTCTTTAGCTCAGGCGCTAAAAAGGCTGGGGCGCAGCAGCGGGAGTGACAGGGTGGTAGCAGTCAGCTCAGCTGCACGGACCTGAATTAAGCCTTGGCATCTGGAAGGCGGAGGATGGGCAACGGGAAGGGAGCTGTCCGTTCAGCACCACGGACCCTGTTCCCCTCCACTGAAACCACCGGCCCCAGCCCAGGACTGTCTATTCTCTAGTTTGAGCGGGGGTGTTGGGAGCAGGGGGAGAGCTTTCCTAGGAGGCTGGGAAGCAGTGAACACTCTTCTCCGCGACCCGCCTCCCAGCAGTGCTATTTTTTGCCATCCGCCCTCACCCCCAGCACACACATTCGCGCACCCACAGGCACGCGCGCACACACACACACACACACACACACGCACGCACGCGCGCGCGCGCCCATACACGCACGCGCGCGCGCGCACACACACATACACACATACACACAGAGACCTCTCTAGATTTCTTTGCCTTGAGTCTCCCGGGGCTGTGAGAAGCCAGGCGCATCTCAAACCGAGCTGACAGCTCTAGGCTCCGGAGCCATGCTGTGCACGGATTCTCATCTTTACCAAGCTCTTGAGGAATGAAAGGAACCCAGGGACCCTCAGAAGGCAGCAGTGATGTGGACCAACCCCCTGGAGCCTGCACCCTTCCGAGGGCCATAGGCAGACCAGGGAACTGGAGAGAGCTCCAGACAGGAAATTCCAGTTTTCCCAAAGTCCCTGTGGATGCTGACAAAAGGAGATCCGAATTTTTGGAAGAGCCTATCTTAGGTTATCCAGCTGCAGAGTGATTTTTTCCTCTGGCATTGAACTTCCCCTTCAACCCCCAGCCATTCAGAATACCATGAAGAATTATGAGGATGTGTGACAGAGGTATCCAGATGCTGATCACCACCGTGGGAGCCTTCGCAGCGTTTAGTTTAATGACCATTGCAGTGGGCACGGACTACTGGTTATATTCCAGAGGCGTGTGCAGGACTAAATCTACAAGTGATAATGAAACCAGCAGGAAGAATGAAGAAGTAATGACCCACTCGGGGCTGTGGAGGACCTGCTGCCTAGAAGGTATTTACAAATTCCTCTCAATGGCCCTTAATAACCCAGTTTCTGATATTCTGATATTCCATAGCGGGGTAGGGGGAGGTAGAGGCAGTGAATGGGGGGGGGCAATGGTTCAGATTATTGCCGAGGAGGTGCAGATGTCCAGACCGGTCCAAGTAGAACTAATGCTGTGTTGTATGGGATGAAGTGGTTGGATCTTATTGTTTTTGGTATAAGCTTCATGACATGAGGTTTTATAGCACTCTCTGTAGCTTCTGCAATTGAGAAAAGTCCTTAAATACAAAATCCCTAGACACATTGTGAACTGCTTTGATCTCTGGCTTGAGATGGGGTCTTTGGTTTTACTTAAATTGTATTTCAGTGGGAGAGGGGATGGAAGGGGGGGGAGAGAGAGAGAGAGAGAGAAAGAGAGAGAGAGAGAGACAGAGAGAGAGACTCCCTGACCTCATCTGATACACTCTTAGCTATCCTTATTTACCAATATAGTCTTATCAGTTTCTTCTGAGTTTGGTTTAACTAGATATTTTCATGAACTTCCATTGCCAACCAGTTCCACACTAACATATGTGAACTCCTGCACACACACACATATACACACATTTTAAGAAAATTTCCTTATAAATACACATTTTATTATTTTGGGATCAAAACAAAACTGAAGTCTTGGTATTTGGCATCTACATGTCTTCTTTCATATATCATCCCCAAACCCCCAAAATGTATTTCCATTATATTTGCATAAGGGTGATTCTCCAAGAATGACAGCTATTGTTTCTAATTTAAAAAATTGAGAATTAGCTTTCAATTATTTTGAAGAGGACAAATCAATTTTAGAATGTCAAGTTCTTGGGTTTAAACTTGCTTTCACTACACCGGGAGTCACTCTCAGCATCACTAGACAATGGCTGGATGTCTGTGGTAGAAAACAGAAAGAAAAGACAATCAAAGCTTTTGGAGCCTACGTGCCTGAGGAGAGGCCCTGGATTAAATGGTTAGAAGGAAGCTTTCTTGGGCTTCTAAGGAATCTGTGAAGCTTGTCTCAATGATGGGGAAGGAAAGCTGGATTTTCTATATGCTCTTCTTCCCTGCTCATCATTGGTTCTCCATGCCTGCATTCTCACTGGCTAGCACTCATCAGGGCTTCTTGAGAACTTGCATTTATGTCAATTGCTTAGGAAATCATGCTATGACATCACTTGCTAGTGTAATATTGCTTCATTCCCTGGCCTTCTGCCCATGTTCTGACACTCTGAACAACTGCTGTCCTGACTGCAAGACTTACTACAACTGAGTATGTTTCCAATGCAAATTTGCAAGTGGTGGGAAGTCCAAGTGGGAAAGATTATTTTAAATGCAAAAAGGATCACTGTATGTAAAGTCAGAACACCTCGGTGAGGGCTGCAAACTATCTGCACAATCTTGGCTAAGACATTTGCCCTCTTCAACACCCAGTTTACTAATCTGGGAAATGATTAATTCAGAATAGGTGGTCTTAAATTAGCACTATCCAAACCTCATATTTTATCCAGTGTCCTGATGGAAATTAAAGAACAATTGTTTCCTAAACACTGGCAAAAAGCTAACATTTGTGTTCATTTGTGGTTGGGTATGGTGAAGTCATTTACCTTAGGGAAATCCCATAGTTTGCTTTCTTTATTGACAATAAGGAACTGAATTATCTTTTGTAAAGGTGTAATTTTGTGGATGTTTTGATGCTTACATGGTTCTAGGGATGGCATAAAGAAGTCTGAGACTCCTACCAATGTCTACACATGTAGATAATATTTCAGTTATTTCTGATTGTTTTGCCTCTTGCAACTAAACTTTAAAATGCACAATTAAACACCAGTTCTAGCTTCCCTCTTTAGGATCTATGATTCCTGAACCTTTGCCATTTCTCAACTGAAGTTTTCTCTTTTCTCCAACATCATGTCCTATACCCACAGTTTGCACAGGAATTGGAGACCCACCCAGGCATTCTGTGAAAAATGAGAATTTGAATCAAACAAGAATTGGTTGAATTTAAGATATGTTCTTGGTCAGATGAATTCTTCTGAGAAAATTTGTTTCAGTCTCCATGCAATTTGGCCCAGCTACTTTTTGTTTACATTTTTGAAGAATAAATACAGTAAGATGCATAAACTTTAATGAATCACAGTAAAATTTTTTGCTATATGTACACCCCTATAACCAACATCGAGTTGGGCCTGGCTGAAACTGAAGCTAAGATCTTTCTTGGAGTGGAGTGGGTGGAGATTGAAGAGGGTATAGGAGGGATAAATGGTGATAGAAAGAGACTTAACTTAGGGTAGTGAACACACAATACAGTGTACAGATCATGGGCTGTGGAATTGTGCATCTGAAACCTGTTTAATTTTGTTAACAAGTGTCACCCCAATAAATTCAATAAAAAAAGAATAAATAAATTCCACAACTGCTAAAAAAAAACTTCTTCATGTACTGTCTACATCAAGTGTTCAAGGAATTTGCAGGGGCCTCTGATTTCTGCATGGGCAGACACATGCAGTAGACAGACCCATGCTTTGACGGAATGAAGGTGCACAGCCATCTCCTGCTTGGTATCTTCCAGAACCTCAACATCTTCATTTTTTTCTGGTCCTTTAAGTGTCAAAGGATAACTACAGAGTGGCAGTAGCAGTTTTGTAGCTCATTTTTTTTATATCAAATTAGAAGAGTCTGTTCATCTACATTTTTTAAAGAACTATGAGAGAATGTGGCCATGTTATTCAAAAGAAGAGAATGCTCAGCAGGAACATGACAACTCTTTGCAAATATCTGAAAAGCTGTCTGAAAGAGATTTGAAATGCTCTGTGTGGTCTCAAAGGCATGGAAGTGGGAGCTAGAGGTAAACAGGTTTTATCTCAATATAAAAATGTATTCAGTGTAGAATAGGAAGCTTTAAGAGGTGATGAGTTCCTCACCACCAAATATATTCAAGTATAAGAAAGACATTCAAGTACATTAAATGCTCCCAAACTTGGCTAGTTATCAGAATCAAATAAGGAACTTTAAAAATAGATTATCAGGTCCTGCAACTAGATTCTCTATTTCCATAGGTCTGCAGTGGATTACTAGAGTCTGAATTTTCTAAAAGTCCTACAAGTTATTACAATGTTAAAGCCAATATGTACTGAATATTTACAATGGACCTAGGGATGACTAAATGTGTTAGGAAGAATCACATTTCTGAAGCAAGAGAAGGGATGTTTCCAGGTTTCATTTCTATAATTTATCATAATGTCATTTATATTAGCATTTACTAGGAGCTAGAACTGTTTTAAGAATTTTTAAAAATTAATTTTCCCCTTCAAAGGTGCTCAGTGGTATGGATATTATTACCCTTATTTTACAGATGAGGAAACTGAAGCTGAATAAGTTATATAAGTTTCCCAAGGTCACATACTTGAACTCAGCAGTAACTTACTTCACCTAAGCCATGCTGCTTCTCAGAGCACTTGCTAGAGAACATTAACTCCTGCTCTGGTAGATATAGGTTGCTACATTAGCTTGTGAGAATGCTGAGACACATGGGTCTTTCCATTCAGATGCTCCACCTCGCAGAACACTCAGCATGCCTGTGCAGCATCTGCAGGGGCACAGAAGCCACCAGACAGGCACAAACTCAGAGGCAGCAAGGACATTCTTTGAATGCAAAAACAATCGACCTATGTAGAGACACCCACACTGAGAAACGGGAATGAATGCCTGACTCATTATCTGGAAGGCATGCGAAGCATTCACAGAGTAGTTTCCCAACCTGCTGCAGGTTTTCAATAGCAGAGTATGAATTTGAATGAGAACGTGTTTGACATGTGATGCTCTCATTAGGAAAATCTCTTTCTTGAAGTCCTAGATGCAATCAAAATGATGTATTTAGACAGTGAAAAGACCATTGCACTGGCCTGGGAGCAAGGAACCCTGGCAGATAATCACATATATATCACTAACATTTATGTGAATTGTGCATGTTATTTTCCTCATTTGGACCTTGGTTTACCCAAATCTAAAATGAGAGCCTCAGCCCTGACCAGTGTGGCTCAGTTCATTGTGCATTGTCCTGCAAAACAAAAGGTTCAATTCCAGTCAGGGCATGTAACTGGGTTGCAGGTTTGGTCCCCAGTTGGGGCGCGGATGAGAGACAACTCATTGATGTTTCTCTCTCACATCAATATTTCTTTCCCTCTCTTTCTCTCTCCTTCCTCTTCTCTCTCAAATAAATAAATAAGTAAATAAATAAATCTTTAAAATGAGGGAGTTTCAGGTAAGATTAGAGAGTACCAAGCCCAAATTGTCATGTGGACTAGGCAGGTAATGTAAAGTGTGAAAAAAGCATTTCACAGTTGTCTTAACTCAGTTCTATGGTGGGGGCGGGGGGCAGGGAGGAGTAACAGTGCATTTAGGAAGATGTAACTGAAACTTTGTCTCAATGTGGGGGCAATAGAGAGAGTTGGGAGTGGTGGCAAATCGGAGAGCACAGCCCATTGTAAGGGACAATTACTACTTAAGTTGATTTTTATGCAGGGGAAATATGTACCAATTTGGCCCAATATTTCAAATTTTAAAATGCCAGAAATAAAATGTCTTGATTTTTTAAATACAGGCAACTAATTCAACTTTTTAAAAAGATGTTGTCAGCCAAATCAAACCTGCTTCGTAGCTGAATTTGATGCAGGGGCTGCCAGTTTTGAACCCTGGAAGTTATTTAAAAGGCCCTTTTAACTCAAATTTCTTATATTTTCACACTTGACTACTGAATTCCTCTTCATTATCAATAATCACTTTTTAAATTCATTTTTAAAATACTTACTAGGAAAGCTCATTTAGGATTTTAGGACATGGAAATAAAATTATGGAAAAGAATTTCACTAAATGCTATTTCTGCTACAGATGGTCTTGGGTGACATCAAACATCAGACTGAAAAACTAAAAAAAAAAAATAATAATAACCAATCATTAGAAATTTTCCCATATTTCCAAATCCC